ATATATATATATATATATCAAGAATCTGTCATGCTCATAGCTTCAAGTAGAGAGCCTAGAATCTCTGCTTGACTTTGAATAAAACGTACAGTATATGTTATCACAAGATAAATAAATATTCTATAAAATCAAGTGGAGTACAAGAGACAGCATAACTGGGTCAAAATTAAGACCAAAGATTATAGAAACATGTAGAATTTGACTACGGCTCGAACTTCATCCTCTTTTATACGAAGGATGTACGTATTGGCTTGTGGGGGGCAGTTGCCCCCACTAACTTTTCAGGTTTTTTATTAATAATATATATAATATTATATTATTTTTATTTAAAATCTAAAAATAGAAAGAAAAAAAAAAATATATATATATATATATATAAAAGTTTCAAAATTAAATATGAATTTGAGTCTTGTTGTAGTTATCTTTGTGTGAGAAGGAAGATTTTAAAAAAATATTTTAATATATTATAAAAATTAACAACAAATTACATGTTTTAGAAGAAAAAAAAAGTTGTTATGCATTTAAATTGTAAATCAAGATAATAAAAAAATTATAAATTAATAATATGTATGTATTTTAAGTAAAAAAAAAATTATAAGTTGTTTTAACCTCTTTTTGGATATTTTATATCTTTTTTCTATTTTATTTTTACCTTTTCTAATTCTTTTCATTTTTTGAGGTTCCCCTCTATCTGTAACACATTTTAAAGTGTAGAAGAGTGAAATTGAAAGAAAAAAAAACAGATAAACTTCTTCCATCTCTACTCCTTCCTGTTTGAATAGCTAAACTATACATTTAAAGTGATCTTTGGGGTTAGTGTATTGAAAGTTATTATTTTTATATTACTTTATTTGAATTTTTTATTTATTTTCAATGAAAAATTCAGTATTTTAATTTTTATTTACTCATTATATTTTTATGTTTAGAAGAAACATCATATGTTATGAACATTACATTAGATAACCAACTTGAAAATTATTTCATAGATGTATGTTTTGAAAGTGCTTTTTCAAAATTAGAAGGATTGGTATCTTTCTTTGAAGTGGAGACAAGAAAATATGTTGTATATCCATTAATGTATTTGCTTTTAGAGCTAGCTTTGATACTATCAGTGGCAATCGCATCAGTTGAAAGAACTTTTTCTGCTATGAATATCATCAAGAATCGGATACAAAATTGTATGGGAGATGAATGGTTAAATGATTGTTTAGTTACTTATAAAGAGAGAGGTTTTTGATAATATTAAAAATGAGCAAATCATTCAATGTTTTCAAACTATGAAAATTCGTAAAGAATAATTATGATATGTATTTGTCTTTATAGAAATTTTATTTTATATTTTAATAAATTTATGTATTTAAACATTGCTCCCATTACTTAAAATTTCTAGATCCGTCACGCTGAGGATTTTTCTCTTCCTATGTTATTAGGTCCACCGTGGCATTAGAATAAAATGTTGCCTATTTAAATTAATAGTTCTTATTGTTATATTTGGTCAATTATTGACTCGCATATCTATTCAACCAGAATAAACTTGTAGAAATTATCCTGGTTGTTGAAGAGGAATCAAAAGATTGTTGCAGAGAAAGTATGCCATAGGAAAAACTTCTCATCTTAGTATTCAAACAGAAAAAAAAAAAAAAAAAAATATATATATATATATATATATATATATATATAATTGTAGGAATTATTATATATGTTTTGTAATTAAAATTTGTATTCCTTTATTCATTAAATTATTAATCTCGAAAATTATTATGGTATTGTATTTAAATTTTGTTCAAATGGAAAAAAAATCAAAGGAGGGGGAGGAAGCCCATGTCATCGAAGGACTCAATTTTTGAAGGGTGGTATATATACGTTGTTTTTATTAATAAAGTAATATATCTTAAATATTGTAACTACATTATCTAGTTATTAATTTCTAATTGTAATGGAAGTGAATTGATATTATATGAGCATTACTTTCAATTTCGGAATTAAATAATTTTCTAATTAAGGTGTCTTTGTGTCACCTATTTTAAATTTATATATTTTACTTATATATATATATATAATAATAATAATAAATATGCTACAAATAAATATGGTTTATTCTTTTTCATGTTAAAAGGATCCACTCTCTGTAATTTTATTGAATAAATCTTTTTATTAAAAAATATAAATTTTGAAATAAGGTAATAGTTTAGATATTAAATAGCCTTTACAAGAAACATGACAAATTATAATATAAACTAACATAAAATGTGTGATCAAATCATTCGTCCCTCTTCCTACTCAATAAAACTAGACTCACATGTATGGCAAAAGCCCAAACAACAATAGAAAGAAAAACAAGAAAAGAGAAGTGAGAATATATTCCACACGTGTTAAAGCGAATGTAAAAAAAGTTAGGTAACACTACAACACATCATAAGTCACCTCTCAAACACAAATACACATACTGCTCCTGACACTTAACACATGAATTTTTATGTTCTTATCTCTATATTCATGTGGTATCACATTCTCTTCGCATAAAATCCCTCACAACATGAAGTAGCCTAAGAGTACTTGGATCAAACCTTCACACACTCAATGACCCTCTTAATCCACACTTAACTAGGAAAGATCTATCGGGAGTCATATTGGGGTATTGCAATTGTACGTGGTTGTCCTTCCCACTCATAGACAAGAGGTTTTGGACCATAACATTCCCAAGGCCAAGATAGAAGACAATAGAAACATGCATAAATTCACAACTAACTCCTTATAAATTATGCATGAGTGTATGAACTCAATCACATTATGAAGGCATATGATGAGTAATGTAATGTTGATGTGGATGTGAATTGAACTTCGTTGATGAATATATGAAGGCATATGATGAGTAATGAGACATGATGAATGTGTGAAATGTGAGATTATGGAATCATGTGAATGTGACGCATAAAGTTTGTTTGCCATAAATCATATGCATAAAATGTTTTTGAAAGGGTACGATGTGTAATACATCGCTAGTGAAGATCCTTTATCTAAAAGCTTGGGAAACAACCTTGGGAATAACTTAATTTGGAAGTCTCAATCTTGCCCTCGTGAGCATGAAATGTATCTTGTAAGACTTAGCTATTTTGACCAAACCCTAGTAGTATGTTATTCTAGTGAAATAGCGTAGAGGGTGTGACCCAACATATACTTCTAGACTATTATTAGTGACTTACTGGTAACAATGCAAAAGTGTGATGTTTTTACTAGCACCACATGCATGATAACATATAGTCCATGTCCATTGCATTATAACCATACTTGTTATTGTTTGTTATGTTCTGAATGAATTAAGTATGTTTATAATGTGTAACTATGTATGTTATATCTTACTTTATGCATTGTTTGTGTTTAGCTAATCGATTTTCATTCCTTCACCGTGAACCAGAGTGAGATGTTTCTTACTCACTTTTCTTTTGTGTTATTTTCTTGTGGTTTGTTGTAGTTGATCATCAACATGGTAATGAAGTCTAATCCTCAATGTTGGATTTTGATCTTATAAAACACGTGACACTGGAGATTAGTTAGGACTAATTATATTAAAATTTGATTTGTTATTTAAATTGAGTAATCGATTTTATTTCCTTTCTAATTTTTTATTTCCGCTAAGTTTAGTTTATGTTAAAAGAATTTTTTTTACCTGTATGAATTTTGAGTCTATTTGTTATATTGAGGTTATTATGTTTTATGTTATATTATGTGTTATGGTATGTTGGGTAGAAGGTGTCACACTAATTTAGGAGAAGATAAAACAATAATATTTATTATATTTACATAGTATTTCATTATTACGAATATATTTTATATTATATATTGTCATTTTTTCTAACTAATATATTTTTTAATTAAATTTTATTTGATAACATGATAAGAAATCAAATTCGATTCGTATGTATATTTTTAAGTTCTTTATGATATATTTTTTTCATTACAAAGGAGTCTTCTTTGTTAAGCATTGAGACAATCTCCCTATAAGTTTAGACACTAAACTAATGATTACAACAACAACAAAAAAAAACTTAATCATCACAACGAGAACAATCTTCCTCAAGGGTTTAGACACTAAATTAATTAATTATCACAAAAAGAAACTAATCATAACAAAGAGAGAAATGAGGGAAAATAGTAAAAAATAATGAGTACAATAATTAAAATAATATATGTTATTGAATCCTATCTTAATGTATGTTTTAATAATGATAAACTCTTAATTTCAAGTTTTAACCATGATGAGTTTTCACGTGGAACACTAACAAATTTTTTCAAGTGTTTCATATTTACTTGGTTAGTACTCAGAAGCTTAACAAGTATTTCAACTCAAAAGTGCCAACAGAAAGTAACTAAGCTACTTGAGCTAACATGTAGTACCATGGTCTTAACTATACTATGAGTATACAAAGGATGTTGATCAAACAATGTTCAAGTTTAACATTTTCTCTTAAGGAAGATGCCTTGAAGACTTAGTTTAGAGGTCCAATTCTCTAAATCTTTCATCAAGAAGCTTCCGTTCAAGCTCAACTTCTCAAAAGACTAGTATTGAAGAATCTGTTTAGAAGGTTGCTCAAAAGGATGTTCAAAAGGAAGCTTTAGAAGATAATTGCTTTTGAGAAATTTGCTAACAACACTAATGAAGGTACAAGTTGATGTTAACACTGCTCAAAAACTAAGTTTCCCATAATGAATATATTTTAGAGGCTATAATAAGAAGACTAAGGCTACAAATTTAAAGCAAGCAAGATCAAATAGAGTAATCAACATACAAGCTTCTATAGTTGTAATATTTGCCTCATACATTATTTTCAGAGATCTCCACTTCTATATTTGTAATCATTCCTGTAATAGAAAAACAAAGTGTGAAACTTCCTTGGTAGAAACTCTTATTAGGAGAATCTGTTATAACCATAGTTTTGTGTTAGGATATACAAACCCTATTTTTGTATAAAATAAAAAGGGTTGCCTACTCAAATCTAGTGTGTAGAGGAGTAGGAAGGAGTGAAAAGGAGTCCGCCAATTGATTGTGAAACCTCATAACAGATGGGTGTCAATGTGGGTGTCTCAACAAGTTGTTAAGGGAGAGATATTAGCAAGTGGCTCAATGTAAAACACTAACAACAACTTGTGTGGTGTGGAACTTGTATCTACACGTGGTTGGTGTTGTAACTTTAACAATAGTTGTTGTATTAATAAAATATCTCGCAAAGTTTGTGAGGATTGGACATAACCCAGCCTAGGATGAATTAGCATAAACTTGAGTTTACAATCTCTTTGACTCTATCTATTTACTTACGGTAGTTATTTCTTTGCATCATATATTATTATTTTATGATGTTATTACTTTAAAATTATTCAGAAGAAGCCTTATAAGAAAACTAAGTTTTGAACACTCAAAAGATTCACCTTCTAAACGATAGATTTTTATAAAGAACATGATTTTAAGTAATACAACAATTCAACCCCTTATTATTGCCTAATATTTGCTTCAATATGTAATAAGAGGAAGGTGAAGATAAATAATAGGTATTAATTAATGAATAATAAAATATGGAGAGATATGTACATATCATCATTCTTAAAACAATGTTATCTTTATACCAAGGTAAATATTTTTAGGCAAATTATTATATCCTTTATTTTTTTCCTAATTATTTTATTTAAATATTTTTTTTGTTAAAGTAAACAATAAACACACATGTTACAAAAAATTTTATATTTTTGTTTAATTTATGGTTATAATAATTTTAACATGGTTATATTTTTCATACATTGTCTTCTGTCTTCTCACTTAAATAATAATTAATTATTTTTTTAGTTTATCTAACCAAAATTTTTTTCATGTAATTTGAATTATTTAAATTTTTTTTAATATTTGTATGGAATAGATTGATTTAATTTTAAATTTAATAAATAATTTAATACAGTACACCTAAATTTCAAAAAATGATATTTTTAAATTATATTTAAATTTCTATAAATATATATTTTAAGTATATAAATAATATTTTAAATTTATGATAAATAATTTATATAAATACAAGGTTATTTTTTTATTATTAATTTATTTAAAATAATAAAATTTAATTTAAAAATAAAAATAATAAATACAAATTGAATCAACTCCTTTGCAAACAACCTTGTACAACTTTGTTTTTTTGAGCTATTCTTTGACTTTTTTAAGGATTTTTTTTTAACTTTTTATCTAATTTAAATTTTTTATTTATCATAAATACTAAAAGTTAAATTTTAATATTTTTAAAATAAATTATCAATAATTAAATGTAATATAATGTTACAATATAAATTAACTTCCAAATATTAAACATGGGCTATTATTTTATACAAGAATGTTTTTAAAAGTTTTTATTTTGTAGATTTTTTAAAATTTATTATCTATTTTTATTTTTATTTATCTAAATTATTTATTAATTAAATTTTAATATTTTAAAATAAATTAGTAAATAAAAGTAATTTTGGATTATTATATAAATTAATTATTATAAATATAAAATATAATTTATATATTTATACATATTTTAAATATGATTTATATACTTAAAAAATAGCATTGTAAATTTAAATCTATGTTAATCTATAAAAAGAATAACCCTTTTAATAGTTATTTTAATCTTCACATTTGATAAATTATTATATTATTTAATTATTTAATTTTAATTTTAATTTTATTTTATTTTTAATAGGGATACAAAATATCTCGATTCTAATAATTAAACAGAATTAACATGTATGTGTATTATCAAGATTATAATATTAATTTTTTTTTAAAATTTAAAATATAATATATGTTTAAAAATATATAATCGTACAAATTAAAATACATACTCTTAAAGATTAAAAAAATATTTTAAAAAACATGTACCGTTAAAATTTCTCATTCGTTTATATATATATTTTTCCCTTGAATCCATAACCTTTTCTAAAAAATATGTAAACATTTTATTTTTTGGGGGCCAGGAACAAGAGAACTCTTAACTTTAGAAGCTGAAATGGGCTTAAATATTATGGGTCGAATTCTCACAGGCCCATTACTCCTATCCTCAAAAGTGTTGTTATTCTCAGCAAACCCTCGTTCTTCAGCCGCGCCTCAACTTTGAAGCAATCCCACTTCCCTTCACAAAGCCTCTCAAAAATGGTACTCTCTTTGTCTCTCTAGTTTTCATTGATTTCTGGGATTTTAAGGTTAGTTATAGTTTCAGATTTTAACATGATTTATGTTTTTTTGCATGTGACCAGACCAAGAGAACCAAGAAGGCCGGCATTGTTGGCAAATACGGTAAGTGGTTTGTTGGTTATATTCGTTGTTGGGTATTTTAGATTTTCAGTTTAGTTTTATTTGGGTATAACGATGATGTTATTCTAATGTGATTTTTGAATGTTTGTGGGTTTAAGAATGTGATGTCTGTCACAAATTAAATGTAGGGTTGTTGAATCTTGAAACCCCTTTTACTTGTTAGAGACATTAATTTGCTTTGCACGTTGTTTTGTTTCATTTGTATGTGTGGTCAAAGTGGGATGATTAGTTATGTTTATGCTATCAATTTTCAGGCACCCGTTATGGTGCTAGTTTGAGGAAGCAGATTAAGAAGATGGAAGTTAGTCAGCACAGTAAATTTTTCTGTGAGTTCTGTGGAAAGGTATTTTTTTTTCTGTTTTATGTTTTTTGTGCTTGTGGGACGAGTTTGTTTTTTGTTCTTGCTTACTGAAAATTTTGATAAAGTCATTCATTTGAATCTGATCCCTAGTACCTGATATACCAGATAAGATTTAAGGTTAATCCCATTTGTTAATATAATATTGTCAATTTTAAATTTTAACATTATGTATAGTTAAAATGTAGGATGAGATAAGTATAGAATTATAATTATAATTAAGGAAATTTATACTCACCTCCCCTGAGATCTTGTTAAATGACACTCACTTGATAGTTTGTAAAACATATGTGTACATCCCTTATGTTGTTAATAATAATGTGCAATTTTCTGAGGGGAGTTAAGTGCAAATTTCTGATCATGAACATTTTATTATTGAGTTTGGCCTATGGTCACTTTTAATGACATGTTTGTTCATTCAGTATGCTGTTAAGAGGAAGGCCGTGGGTATTTGGGGCTGCAAAGATTGTGGAAAAGTGAAAGCTGGAGGTGCTTACACATTGAAGTAAGAATCTTACACAAATCTGTCTTACATTTAACTATTTTCAGTTCTATGGTGGTTCAAGTTATGATGATTTGTTTGTGCATTTTCTTCTTGGCAGTACTGCCAGTGCTGTGACTGTCCGAAGCACCATCCGCAGGCTGAGAGAGCAGACCGAGAGTTGAAGGCAGTTTGCACTTTTCATTTGTTTTCAAAGCATAAGTTTTGCTGCTTATTTTAATATTTGGTTTTGGATAGTTTATGAGAAGCACAATGGAAGGTCTTTGTTAAGAATATATTAGTAATGTACTACTTAAGATTCTTGAATGCTATTTAGTTTTGTAGTCTTGAGTCATCTCATGGTGAATGATTTGGTTGTTTGTTCTGCTTCTTGTACTATCATCTATTATTTACTTATTAGGCATCCAGTTACTATGTTTTTGCTAATCTGCATTTTGTCTGCATATACGCAAGATTATGTTTTTGAGTATGATTTTTTAATTCTAAATTATTGTGTTATAGAGGTGTTACAATGCACTTTCTAATACAATACCTTTTATCTTTACCGAAACACACTTATTTGCGGGTGAAGTTTGTATTGAGCCATGATTAAATTGGACTGAACATTCTTGCATTTAATCAAGTCCCAAATTTTAAAGCTTGAGTTTTAGTGTCAGATTAGGATGTGCAAGGATATAGAACTGATTTGACCTCTAGTTACAAGTCTCAGCTCAGCTTATATAATTATAGGTTTTTATTTTTCTTTTTATAAAATAAATATACAAATGTCTGTTTATTTTTATTTTTTTAAGTTTGACATAACATTTTTAGAAGATTGACTTAGTTTTGGAACTGGAATAAGGCCTACGAACAAGTAAATAGTTAAAAATGGGTCAATATTTACCAGATTAATAAAATTATCTGGCATTATTATTAAATTAAAGAGACATTATATGTGTGTATTTTATTTAAACAAATACAATATCATTTTAATGTTGATACCTATATAAATAATCAATTTTAATCTATCATTTTAGTTATACTTATATAATTTACTTTTATGATATCTTTTAGTATTAAAAGTCTTATCCCTTTAATCAATTTATATTTAATGAAATAAAATTTCCACCATTAATGAAAGGCACTTTAGCTCCTATCAAAGTTTCTTCACAGGTGATTTTACTATTGTTAAAGGATATAAGTATTTATTTTTTGCCTTGTATAGTCAATTTTATTTTTTATCCTTTCGTTGGGTTGAATCGAACCGTTGCGATTCAATTTTTTTACTTCTGAAATTTCTAATTATTTTGGATTTATGTGTTCTTGGTTCAAGTCACGCCATAGTGGATATATAGAATAAAATTGATAAATTTTATTGGGGGTATGTCAATATATGTAAATATATATAAAATATTTTTTCATCATTAGTTGTTAGGTTGTTAGAATATTTGCTACTGCAATATCTTCTTTATATAAGGAATGTATACATATCATTCGGGACATAGAAAATTAATAGAATCTTTTCTGTTCTCAATTCTGTTTCCCCTTTTTCTAATATGATATCAGAGCAAACCATCCTATTTCTCTTTAATTTTTTCCGCATATCTTCTTCCTTCTTGGAGTCTTTCATGGTGCTTTCAACTGATTCTAATTCTCAATCTTTTCTTACATTAGTTACTGAACGTCTCGATGACTCCAATTATCTTCATTGGAAACAATAGGTTGAATTGGTTATCAAGTCCCACAAACTTTAGCGTTTTGTTGTCAATCTGCAGATTCCTCCGTGCTACCTCAACGATGTTGATCGTGCTTCTGATAGTGTAAATCCTGTGTTTAAGGTCTGGGAGGTTCAAGATCAAATGCTTTTGACATGGCTTCAGTTGACATTGTCGAAGTCCGTTTTGTCTCGTGTCCTTGGTGCAACTCACTCCTACGAGGTTTGGGAGACGATTCATGAGTATTTTCAACTGTAAATTAAGGTTCGTGCGCATCAACTTCGCACCGACCTTCGTTTGGTTTAGTTGGACGGTAAAACCATGCGTGAGTACCTTTTGCAAATCAAGAGCATTGTTAATGAACTCGCTGGTGTTGGCTTTCCAGTAAAGCATAAGGAATATGTTGATGCCATTCTCGTTAATCTTCCGCAAGAATATGCACCAGTTGTTGCTATTGTTGAAGGTAATTTCAAAACGCCTCCAGTCAATGAAATTAAAGCTCAACTTCTTTCCTTTGAGTCTCGCAGCAATCGTTTTCGTCAACAGTCCATTCTAGTGGTCAATTATACGTCACATGGTAGTTCTAGTTCTCGAGGTCGCTCATTTGGATGTTGTGGTGGCTACGGAGCCTACAGTGTTAGCCGTGGTAGTCATCACGGTGGTACTTATGGTCGTGGACGTGGTGGCCGTTTTGCAAACTTTCAATGCCAAATATGTTTAAAATTTGGTCATACTGCTAATGTTTTCCATTTCCGTGCTAATGAATCCTATCAACCACCAGATCCTATGGTGTTATATGATCCTACAACACATCAACCTATGAAATTCAAAAGTTTCAACACTTGAACTAATCCTAATCTCAAACCTAGTGCTCCTACTGATTCCCCTTCTCAAGGAGTTTCTACTGAAGCTCACACCACTTGGATTCCAGACTTAGGGGCCTCCAATCATGTTATTGATACAACTCAAAACAACACTCAGTTTTCTTACTTTGATGGTCCATATCAGATCTACATTGGTAATGGTTAAGGTTTGCAAATTAAGGGTTCAGGTTCTTCATCTTTCATCTCTCATTTTAATTCTCAAGTTTCCTTTAAACTTAATCATTTACTCCATGTTCCTGCCATTGCTAAAAATTTGTTCCGTGTGAGTCAATTTGCTAAAGACAATTCAGTCTACTTTGAGTTTCATCCTCACTTGTACCTTGTCAAATCTCAAGCGACTCATGAAATTTTAGTTCGAGGTGTTGTTGGTCCCAATGGTCTCTATTCCTTTCCCAATCTCAGGCTGCACAATTCTTCTGTTTCTACTACTTACTCATGTAAGAATAAGGCTCATGTACAACCTGTTAATGTACATTCCTTAGCTACTATCAATTCTGTTGATGTTTCAGCTCCAACTATTTTAACTTCTAGTTCTAGCAATCTTTGGCACACTAGGCTTGGTCATCCAAATTTACATGTATTAAAGCTTGTTCTCAATCAATGTAAACTTGGTTCAGTAAATAAAAATACCCTTGACTTTTTTAATTCATGTGTTATTGGAAAATCTCATCATTTACCTTCTCTAATTTCTGATTTTGTTTACACTACTCCATTAGAATTGATTTACACAAACTTATGGGGCACTTCTCATGTGATTAGTTTTTCTGGTTATAGCTATTACATTGCTTTTGTTGATGCTTTTTCCAAATATACTTGGATTTATCCCTTAAAAGCCAAATTCGAGGCTCTCACAATGTTTCAACATTTCAAATCCATGGTGGAACTTCAACTTAATTATAAAGTAAAAAGTGTGCAGTCTGATTAGAGAGGCGAATTTAGACTTTTCACATCATTTTTAGCTTCTCATGACATTACTCATAGACTTATATGCTCTCACACTCATCATCAAAATGGGACCGTTGAGAGAAAGCATCGCCATATTATTGACAGTGGACTTACGTTACTGCATCATGCTTCTTTACCATTAAAATTTTGGGACTTTGCCTTTATGACTGTTGTTTACCTCTTTAATAGGTTACCTAGTGCTGCACTCAATTTTGCTGTTCCTTATACAGTTTTGTTCAAAACCCCTCCTGATTATAATTTTTTAAAGTCATTTGGTTGTGCCTGTTTTCCTCTCTTACGACCCTACCATGCTCAAAAACCAGACTATGGATAACAAGAATGTCTCTTCCTCGGTTATTCTCATGCTCACAAGGGTTATAAGTGTCTTTCTGCTACTGGCAGAATTTACATCTCTAAGGATGTTATTTTTAATAAACAAAGATTCCCTTATGCTTATTTGTTCCCTCAATGTCCTGTTTCCTCCTCCACTTTACCTCAATATTTCACTCTCCAACCTAACTTGTCACCTTCTACTTCCATAATTTCATCCTCTCCTAACTCTGTCTATACATTTACAGAGCCTGCCTCCTTTGAGTCTAATTTATAGTCGTCTTCTTCACCTCATGTTCCTGTTACTTCCTCTTGTTCAAACACTAATTCTACCACTCAAGGTTCTAATTCTCCTAAGTCCTCTACTGCCTCATTTTCTAGTTCTATTTCAAACAGTTCACCATAGCAAATTCCAAGAACCATCAATAACCACCCTATGCAAACTCAATCAAAGTTTGGAATACACAAACCTAAACTCCATCCTTCTATATTTCTGGTGCACTGTGAGCCTAAAACAGTTAAACTTGTTCTTGCTGATCCTCTGTGGTTTGTAGCTATGCAACAAGAATATAATGCTTTAATGAAGAACTAAACCTGGGATTTGGTCCCTCTCCCACCTAATAGGAAGGTAGTGGGCTGTAAATGGGTTTTTCACATTAAAGAGAATGCTGATGGATCAATAAACAAGTACAAAGCCCGCTTAGTTGCCAAGGGTTTTCACCAAGTTCCTAGATTTGATTTTCATGAAACATTCTCTCTGGTTGTTAAGCCTACCACTATTAGAATTATTCTCACTTTGGCTCTCACAAATGGTTGGGACTTACTTCACATTGATGTGAACAATGCTTTCGTAAATGGCTTGTTGGAGGAAACTATTTTTATGGTACAACTGTCGGGTTTTGAAAGTGCAGATAAAGGTTTGGTATGCAGGTTAAATAGGCCCTCTATGGCCTTAAACAGGGTCCACGACAGTGGTTTGACAGGTTCAAAACTACCTTTCTGCAATTTGGTTTTTCTTCCAACAAATCTAATCCTTCCTTGTTCACTTACACACTTCAACAACAAACAATTTACCTATTGGTGTACGTAGATGATATCATTCTCACTGGAAGCTCGCCATCTCTTATTCAGAAGCTCACAACTCAACTGAATGCTAGATTTGCTCTCAAACAGCTTGGTTTGCTAGACTATTTTCTTGGTATTGAGGTCAAATATTTTCCTGAAAAATCTATTTTAATGACACAAAGCAAATACATTAGGGACTTGTTGCACAAAACAAAAATGGCTAAAAGGCTCAACCTATTTCATCTCCTATGGTTTTCTCCTGTAAACTCTCCAAAAATGGCAATGATCTTTTTCATGATCCTACCTTATTTCGTTTTGTTGTTGGGGCATTACAATATGCCACTTTGACTCGTCCAAAGATTAGCTACTCTGTTAACAAGGTCTGTCAGTTTATGGCTCAACCTTTGGACACTCATTGGATTGCTATAAAAAGAATCTTGCGTTACCTAAAGGGTACTATTTCTCATGGACTTCATTTCAAACCTGTTGCTCT